GGAAAGCTCCTGGGAAGTGAAAATGGCCAGACTCACCTATTTTGATCATGTTGTCAGAAGGGGCCATTCTCTGGAGAAGGATGTCATGCTTGGTAAGGTGGAGGGTCGACAAAAGAGGGGAAGGGCCTCAATGAGATGGGTTGACATGGTGGCTGTAGCAATGGGCTCAAGTATAGCAGGGATCATGGAGCTGACGCGTGACTGGGTGGTGTTTCGTTCTGCTGTGTATGGGGTTGCTATGAATCAAAGATGACTCGACAGCACCTAACAACAACAACAACATCACTACGGAAGTAGATTGCCCAATCTTTCTTCCGAGGACTGGCTGGTGGGTTTGAACCGCCAGCCTTCTGGTTAGTAGTCAACTGCCTTCACCACTGCTCTACCAGAATAGCAAACAGTTTTATCTGTGTACGTTGCTCAATGCCTTCTCATTAGAGCAACTGTCCAAAGTTGGGTGTCCAACCTAGGTGTCTAAAGGCACCAAAAGATGGTAGGCTCCATCAGGCCAGGGCTACTATGCCAGTGATGGGATGCCAGCATGTGGGCAGCACAACTCAACTGGGGAGTAAAATCCCTAGGAGTCTGCCAAGAAGGCAAACAGCATCTCAACAGGCAGATGACACGTGAGCCACTCTGTTCAAATGGAGCCTTACAGCAGTGTCAGTGAGTCTGGGCACTGCTCCCTGACCAAAGGACCACTGTTCCCAGGGGACACAGGAGCTCTCTGCATCACTAGCACCAAGAGCTCTCCAGAGACATTCTCTGACCAAGTGTTCTTTGAGGGGCAGAGAGCAGAGATATGCGTGCCTAGAGTGGGAAGTGGCTTGTCTGTGATGTCTGACTGTCAGGGGTGGCCTGCCAGCGCTGTACAGGTGTAGGCGCGTACACAGGTTGCCGTTCATGATTTTGCTGTAGTCCACTTGTCCCCTCATGGCACGGATTTTCTTCAGCTTGTTCTCCTGGGCTTCAACACGTTCCTTCAATTTCTGAAGCTTCTCATTTTCAGAAATCGCCTGCTGCTGCCGACGCTCCTGCTGCTTCAGGAAGTGCAGACGCTGCTCCTGATGAGAGGGAGAGAACAGCATCAGAGGAAGGAAGGGGTGGCAGATGCTAGCGCACACGCCCAACCACGAGGCGGAGCGGCTGGCACACAGGGCTGCAAGCCCCGCATACGTCCAAGCACCGGCCGGAGCGACTGGGCACACAGGGTGGCAGACGCCAGCGCACACGCCCAACCACGAGGCGGAGCGGCTGGCACACAGGGCTGCAAGCCCCGCATACGTCCAAGCACCGGCCGGAGCGACTGGGCACACAGGGTGGCAGATGCCAGAGCACACGCCCGCCCACCAGCCACAGCGACTGGGCACACAGGGCGGCAGATGCCAGTGTGTGGGGAGTTTCAAGGTGCAGTGCACTAAGCCCAGTGATCCACACCATTCAGGGAACAGAAAACCGCATGGCAGGGAAGACATGGACCTGCTATTTGTTCTATGAATGCAAGCACAACGTGGCGTCCCTTCATTGCGTGGGCGGCTCCAGCCTAGTTTCCTGCCACTCGTCACAGGCTTCCTGCTGCTACTACGGGGCTGCCGGAGTCTGTTAGCTCCCTTCCTGAAGGAAATGACCTGACCAGCAGAGGACTGTATATGGGAGGCAAAGTGGGCAGCCGGGAGGAGATCAGCTCCCAACTTGCTAAACGACACTGAAGAATCAAGGAAGGGTTTGTTTTCTTCACTGTTAGCTTCTTCAGAAACTACTGAAACCTTTTATAGTAAAATAACATCAGGATAATCCTAAAATAAAAACATTCAGTACTCATCAATGTTTTTCCCTATTCACGTGAAAACCTACCTTAAGAATAACAGCATTAAATACTCATAGTCCCCTACATATGCATCACATCTACCTAAAAAGGAGGGGCAACGAAAAAGGGGAAGGCCCTCCAGGAGATGGACTGACCCAGTGGCTGCAGCAGTGGGCTCTGGGACAGCAAGGACTGTGAGGCCGGCACAGGACAGGGCAGTGTTTCGTTCTGTTGTCCACAGGGTCTCTATGAGTTGGAGACAACTTGATGGCATCTGACAACCACCACCACCACAAGGGGAGGTTAAAGGTGGGATTCTGCAGGTGACAGAAACTACACTCCAAGGCAAGGAATGATGTGCTTCCAGTGTCAACGTTAGCTTTCACTGGTGATTTACTTTGTTCAAAGCATCTGAGAAGGTGTTTTCATAGCAACACTGAGATGAGCCTTTGGAAAGGAAATAAGTCAATGGGAACCTTGCCCACGACTCTTGTGATAGGAGCTACATTCATTCACCTTAGAAACCGTGTTAATAGGACTAAATACTTGGCAACTAACTTTTGAGATTCTGTTATTCTTTTAAGTGTAAGGAACTTTGCAAATCTACTTTTTTAAAATGAGCCCAACTTAACATCAGAGTGGAGAGTGCGGTGAACACCAGTCAGTAAGGAGAGAGAACTGGGTAGCTGGTTATGAGGAACACTTTTTAATGAAGAAAACAGTAAGAACCTAGAAAGGCTGACAAGATGCTCCATAACGTGGCTTCAGATATTTTAAAGTCATGCTCAACAGGAGTCATTCCCAGCCAGCATGGGGGACAGCTCTCTCGCGTGTGACTGAGGACATCAGGTATGTAATGAAGCAAACCAGCTCCCGGTTGAGCCACGCGGAGAAACCCAACAGCCCACTGCCACTGTTTTCAGCACCCATTACCAGTTTTCTCCTCCTGGAGGCTGGCTTCTTTTCTCCTCAAGTTGTAGCTAAACTTTGGATAACCAGCTGTCCTCTCTCCTGTGTGTTTGTGTGTTTGTGTGTATGTGTGTGTGTGTTGGGGGTCAGATGCCATTTCCAACATCAAGAAGCTGAGTACACATTTATTGCCACAGAAGTGAGGACAGAGACACACTGTTGAACGCCTCTGCACGTGGCCCCATCTCCGAGTGTCGCTCTCAGTCGACAGTGGCTGGAGAGCGTCATTTTGCAACAGGACTTCTTCACTTCCATTTTGACAACTTACCTTGGCAACCAACATTTGCTGCTGATTTTCAATTTGCTGCTGCTGCCTCGCTGCCATATCGTGGAGCTCAGAGAGGGTCAGTTCAACACGTGGGTTCCCAACCTACAGAGAACAAAGGACACTGACATCTGTATCGTCATGACTCTGCAGTGTCAGAACACGAATGGCGGGACTGTCAGCAGGCTCCCTGGAAGGCAGGAGAATGCCATGTCGTTTGTTTTCTCCTAAGAACTCTCCCCAGTTGTCAGCTGCTTTGACTGGATCTCTGTGTTGCTGCTGGGTGCCACTGAGTCAGTTCTGACTCACAGGGACTCCATGTCCAACACAACGGAAACCCTGGCTGGTCCTCAGCATCCTCACGCTCGTTCCCACGTGGAGCCCACCGCTGCAGCCACCGTGTCAATCCATCTCATGGAGGTCGTCCTTGTTTTTGCCGACCCTCCACCACACCAAGCGTCACGTCCTCCAAGGATTGGTTCCTCCTCCTCACATGTCCAAAGTACACGAGACACAGTCTGGCCATTCTCACTGCTAAGAAGCAAGCTGTACTTCCCCAAACACATTTGTTCTTCTGGTGTCTATGGTACTCCCAGTATTTTTTGCCCACACCATAGTTCAAATGCATCAATTCCTCTTCGGTCTTCGTTAGTCACTGTTCACTTCACATGTATATTGAGATGGCTGAAAATACCATGGCTTTGGCCATGGGTGCTTCAGTGCTCAAAGTCATACAGCAACCCAGGTCTTACAGACACATATTACACACAGTGTCTACCAATGAGCCACCACAGACCGGGCAACGTGCACACACGTCTTCCATTCTTAGCCACAATGACGCTTGTGTCCATCCTCAGTCTCTCTCAATACTGTAAGAAAGCTGTTTATGCTCCATCTCAGGCACAGCTGAAAGACTGTGCCCCAAAGTCATGACTGTCACAGATGGCATTTGACCTTCCCCACAGTGGGCTTCCTTGCAGTCCTGCACAGGGAACTCCTCAGTACTTCTGTCTTTAAAACGCTTGGTGGTTGTTACTGTTTTTGGTGACACGATTCTTTCATCCAAAAGCACCCTCAACAAACGCTCTAGAAAATGGCCTATTTCCACATCACAGTCTCATGCAGAGACTCCCCAGTGACCTCAACCCATTTCTCATCATGGAACCAATTCTGTCCAGCACTGATCTGCGCGTGACACGTGACATCTCGCTCAGGGTCACGTGCTGCCGGGAGGAGAAAGTGCCCTGTCCAGGACTCTCTGCTCTGTGGCACACACAAGCCACCTCGCCCTGGTCCGATCACTCTCTTCTCTAGCGTTTGTCCCCCTAAAGACGTTTTCCTGCCCTAACTATTTTTAAGTTCAGTTTGAGTCAATCCTCTGAAAAGTGGAAAGCTGATGACAACAATGCCTTACAACAACAATGCAAAAGGCAGCACCAGCGTTTCAGAATCTTCCGCATGGTGAGGCCTTGTGCCCGGCCCTGCCCCACCTGCTCTGGCAAGAGAGCAAACTTTCAGCCGGGACCCCGGCATTTTATGCACCACTGTGTTCCTCTGTTGTTCACTACTTAGATAGTAGGCTTTCCTCATTCCGTTCGTGGGTTTCTGTAGGCATGGAAATGACCTGGGTACCTGCACTCCACCTGTGTGCACCACACAGGCCAGGCATAACCACCCCATTGCTGAGTAACAGATCAGGCCAAACTTAACAGCTCAAATAACAACCATCGATATAGCATGGCTCCCATCGATATAGCATGGCAGGTGAGGGGACAGGAATCCAGGAGCAGCTTGCCTGCATAACTCCAGCTTGAGGTTTCTTGTGAGGCTCAGTCAGATGTTGGCTTGACTGAGCTTAGAGTGTGGGTTTCTAAGACAGCTCACTCACATGGCTGGCAGGCCATAGGGCCCCCAGCGGCCCTCTCCACAGAGCTGGTTCTCCCGGAGCAAGCAGCCAAGAGACCAGAGTGGGGAAGCCACCTTTCGATGACCTATCGTCAAGTCATAGAAGGCATTACTGCCCCTACCTCCTATCCATTAGGAGTCACTGAGCCTGGCCCACATGCAAAGCCAAGGGCTCCACCTTTCAAGAGAAGAATGCCAAAGAACTGGCAGACTTTTTTAAAGCCACCACAGCCATTTACTTAATGTAAAAACGCACGGTGACACTATACACTGCAACTCTGTCATTTTAGTATTCACTCCTTACAGGAGGCTCAGCTGTGATTCCAAACAGCATTGTCACAGCCCAAGGAGACAGAGAGTGTGTGTGTCTTCAGAGAGCTAGCTTACAGCTCAGTCCAGTGGTTCCAACTGTGAGTGCCGTCTTCCTCAATGCCTACTTTCAATTTCAATTCTTTGGAAACCAGTGAAAGACCAGGGGACTGTCAGCAATTCAACACCTACTGGGAAGTGGACCCTTCACATGTCAGTGCTAATTCTGATAGCCTCGTTTCTAACACTCAATGGAATGATTTCTCCTTTGGTTATAAAATGGTGACAAAGAGCATAGACAAAAATGCCACCACAACATTATTCAGGAAACAACTCAATTTACCACCTTCCAAGTTTCGGTAAGACGAGTTGGCACACGTAGTCATCCAGCAGTCCCCCTGGCTTGTTCCCTTTTCAGTCCTCAGTTTACATGGAGAACACACCCTGCCCTGGTGGGTGCAGACATCACCATCCACCTCCAGATGCCTAGTGAGTCCACAGCCACTCATCTCCACAGGAGTCCAGCTCCACCTCTCCACTTGTGTCTCCAGCCAACAACACAAACTGCATGTATAAAACCAAACCCGTCTCTCCTACCAAACCCACCTTCCTCAACTCCCTACTTCATTCGTGGACATGTTGGTCAGGAGCGACCAGTCTCTGGGAAGGACCTCATGCTCGGTAAAGTAGAGGGTCGGTGACAAGGAGGAAGCCCCTCAACTCTGTCTCTGACTTTCTTGGGACAACATCATGCAAATGAAGCAGAAGAGGCCATGAACTAATTGAAGACCTGGTCTCATCATTTTCTTGAGACACTTCTCAGAGAAATCCCTTTCTGAGTAACTCCAATGCCTTCCTGTGAAGGAAGTGCTTCTCTGAAGACACCTGGAAAGAAGGGCGCCCTGCCCAAGGAGGACCATTCAGCATGTAGCCCACAACACGTCTCCCTTCTCCTAAATGTTCCTTCCAGACAACCAGATGCCTTTTGTGCATTTATCTCCTTGAATTTTTTATTTTCAAGTATTTCCTTTGGAAGGAGGTCTCTCTCTGAGATTTCAGTGCAGTGTGACATCACTGTGCAGTAAAGTAAGCAGGAACGTCCCCAAGCTCCCCATGCCCACGCCCTGCTCACGTATCGTTCTCCTCACCTATTTGCACCAGGGGGCTCTTTGTAAAACACAGCTGCTCCTACCTGTCTCTTGCTTAAAGTTCTGCAGAGTTAAGTCTGGGCTCTCAGCCTAGTGAAGATCTAGCCCCTCCCTGGACAATACTCCAGCTCCTTCTTGCTGGGGGCCACCGCTTGCTGCGCCCACACTTCCTGCTCGGTATCGGGAACTCACTGCTCATCCTCTGCCACCACAGAGTCACATGTCTCTTCTCTGTGTCCACAGAGACCTCTGACCCTCTGCTGGGAAATCTTGGAGCCCTGCCTCCATAAAGCTTGTAAGATGCCACCTGGCACGCGGCTGCTGCATTCTGCTTGTGCTGTCACTTATCTGTTCACACGTCTTCCTCCAGAAATGCCCCTTCTTCTCTGTGGAGTTTGAAGGGTGACTTCAAGTGGCTCCACCCAACACCTTGGTTGTATGACTTAGCCTTTGGTCTATCTAAAATGAAAATAAACTGGATAAACTTCCTTTCAAAACAATGAAGGAATAATTCTAAATCTAGGTGGTACGGTGGTTTTTACCTGAGTGCCCACCGAGCAATTCCCTAAGCTGAGCAGGTTGATAGTCTCCTGTATATACGCTATATTCCACAATAAAACAAGGAAGAACTAAGATGGCCCCCCAAACGTCTAGTATCCTATCATGTCAGGTAACGACGACAAGGTATTTTAAAAACATGACTGTTAAAAATATAACTCTTTCTCAAATACAGTATCATTTAAAAAATGATAAATAAACATCCCTAACACAAAGCTCTGACGCAACAGTTGGAATACAATCTCTTTATGCTCGCACGCTGTTCTAGAACACTCACTCGTCCCTCTTGCTCCCTTCTCTCCAGGATCATGCCTTTTCATGTTGGGAAGGTACTTACCTGCTAGTTAGTGAACAGAAATGGAGTGGGTGGTAACAACACAAAGACGCGTAACAAAAAAAAGTCTGCTTATTATAATTACATAAAATGTTTAATAAAATTGAGTGTCTCTAACATCTCATTAAAGGAGCTCTGGTGGTACAGTAGTTAAGGCATTTGGCTGCTAAGTAGAAGGTCAGTGGTTCAAACCCACCAGCTGCTCTGGGGGAGGAAGATGAGGCAGTCTGCTTCCATGAAGACTGACAGCCTTGGAAACCCTCTGGGCACTATGAATTGGAATTGACTCAATGGCAGTGGGTTGGTTATTTTTATTTTTAATATCTCATTACATTCTACACATTCTGGAGTCAGAATATTTCGTATTCTAATAATTACTAAATCTCACAAATTACTAGGAGCCAATTTGAAATCTAAAATTTATCCAGCTTTCCCCAAAGGCAGTAGTACTATACTCTGTGATGTGTTGATTGTTCTTCTGACTCAACCTCCCCATTTCAATTCTGGTCAGTTCAACACACACATGTACTCCCAAGGCAAATGCTGGGCACTATGAGGCTAGACAAGTCAGCAGGAAAGCAGGGGCTATCAAAGTGCATGAGTGCCAAGCAGGGAAAAGGCACGTGAGAACCACAGCCCAATACCCGGGGACTGTCCCACCAACACCCTGATGGGGAACGGCAGCATCCAAAAGGCTCGTGAGAACAGGACACGTATCTCAAAAGCATTACTGAATGGACACAGAGTACAGATGCTCCCTGGGCCCAAACCACCAGAAAGCTGGACCCCTGGGCCATAAAGGAACAGTTAAGCGCACCACTACTAACTAAAAGGTTGGTGGTTCAACACCC